TTTGGTAACTTGTTCCACTCATCTTCCTATTGCTTTGATGGAGAAATTAGAAGAGAAAAAGATTTGTTCACGAGGATAGATTAAAGTTTTAACCTAACCTAAGCTAATCTGACCTGATATGACTTAGCCAACCCAACCCGACCTAACCCGACCTAACCCGACCCGAACCAAATATATTTTTCTTGTATTCAACGACAGAAGCCATAAACCAACATAGTACACACACACACACACACACACACACACACACACACACACACACACACACACACACGTCCTACAAAGCTTCGTCGTGCACAAGTTGGCCGTGGAAGATGAGAAAATAGCTCAAGGCAGTTAAAGAAAGATGACTGAATCTTGTGGTTTGTTTGTGTCTCTGTTGAGTAGGTCTTAACACCTCCCCTGCGGCACCTGTTGTGGTGTCTGAGGTACAGGTGAATACAGGCTGACAATATACCTTTGTTGGAGTCATTTTTTTCTCCTATTCCCTTATTAATGGTATAGATATTTGTTTGGTTATTAGTACGTCTTCAATTTACAAATATTACACCTGGGATATCTTAATTCAGAATATAATCCAGGGCGATGAATATTTTACTTATATTATGATGAGTAAGCATCTAACGCTATTGGGTAGGAGTTAGGTTAGGTTAGGTTAGGTTAGGTTAGGTAGGATTAGATAACCAGCTATGAGTCAATGATATGAGTTATTAAGGATGTCACCGTTATTACTGAGTTCTGAGGTGACTAAAGAGACCGTTACGGGACCGGCAGGGTCGTCCACAGATGTTGCACGTGTGGAGGGCTACATCTAATGCGGGACGGACTGCGGCAGCGTCTTTCCGCGTTGGCGCTTGTATGCCTCGATTTGCAGTTGGGCTAACTCGAAAGTATTGACACCTTCTTGTGTGGTGCTCCTCCAAGCGTTACGTTACGGTGTTGAGTAATCGTCTCCCAGGTGACGAAGTCAATTTGGCACTTTTTCAAGTTTATCTTAAGACTATCCTCATACCTTTTCAGTTGCCCGCCAGCGTTACGTTTACTATTCGTTAGGTGACTGTAAAGTAGCTGCTTTGGCAGTCTACTGTGGTTCTTGCGGGTAACATGGCCAGTCCAGCGTAGTTGTTCATGGATAATGGTAGCCTCGATGCTCCTACATTTGGTGTCAGTGAGAATATGGCATTTGTTCTCTTGCCTTTCCAGCGAACTTGGAGGATGGAACGTAGGGCTACGTTGGTGAAAGTTTTCAAGTGCCGTGAGGTGCCTCCTGTATGTGACCCATGTCTCGCTGCCATATAGCAGGGTGGGGAGGACCACTGCTCGATATACGTGCAACTTTGTAGATAATTTCAGCTCCCTACAGCTGAAGACGGGAATGGAGTCTACCAAAAGCTTGAGATGCACATCTGATCTGTTGTTGAATCTCCATCGATGTTCCGTCGTGGTGGACAGGTGGGAGCCGAGATACCAAAAGTGGGTAACATTAGAGAGGGTAGTACCGTACAGCTGGATGGATGGTGGAGGTGTGGCTGAACCAGGGGCACGCTGAAAGAGATTCCGAGTCTTACATACCTCAAGGCCGAAGTGTGCATACGCATCTGCATAGGTGTTCATGATTTCCTGTAGATCACTTTCTGTGTGAGCGACAAGGGTGAGGTCGTCTGCATACTGAAGTTCAGTAATGGAATCTGCCGACACCTTTGTTCCTGCCTGGATTCGTCTAATGTTGAAAAGACCCTTCATCCGGTACTCGATGTCCACTACGCTGGCTAAATTGGCACTGGCACGAGTAAGGAAGGCAGCCAAGAAATGGAAAAGAGAGTTGGTGCCAGTACACATCCTTGTTTTACCCCCCTTTGAATGGGGAAGAACTCAAACTGGGTGCCATTGTACATGGACACTGCCGTTCATGCCATCATGGAGTTACCTCACAATGATGATGAATTTTGGTGGGCAACCAAAACGGCTGAAGGCCCGCCAAAGGTCTTCCCTGTTGACCGACCGGGTCGAAGGCCTTGGTTAGGTCGATGAAGGCCATGTACAAGTCACGACACTATTCTCTGCACTTCTTCTGTATCTGGCGGGCAGCAAAGATCATGTCAGTGGTGCCCCATGATGGTAAAGCCACATTGAGATTCTGGGAGGAAGTTTTCCGCCTCGGGAAAATGTCTGTTTAGGAGAACTTGGGCGATAATCTTGCTAGCTACGGACAGCAGCGGGATCCCGCGGTAGTTGCCACAGTCTGACCAGTCTTCCTTGTTATAAATATTGACGATGGAAGCGTCTTTAAGAGCTTGGGGGGGCATTTCCTCCTTTTCCCATATATTCTCCAGGAGAGAGTGGAGATGGCTGGTAAGCAGAGGTCCTCCTGATTTATACATCTCGGATAGTATTCCATCAGGCCCTGAGACTGGTTTTTTTCATCTGTTTGAAGGCAGTAGCTACCTCATCCAGGGATGGAGGATATCTGAGGTGGATCAGCTCTGGGTGCTGAGGGACCTGCTGGGTAGTCAGGACATCCACATCAGTGTTTCTGTTGAGCAGCGAATGGTAGTGCTCTTTCCAGTGCTGAAGGAAGCCTTCTTCGTCTTTAATTAGGACTTTACTGCCGGATGAGTGGAGGGGGATGCGCCACGAGTGACTGGCCCTTATTATGTTTTAGTGCAATTGAAAAATTCGTGCGTCTTCTGTTGATTTGCAAGTTCTTGTGTTTCACATGCTTTGTTTTTAAATCAATCGTTCTTTAGATTGTGAAGTTCACGCTGGACCGCCGCTTTCTTCCTGAGGAAAGCGTCAGCTTTGATTCGAGATAGAGGGTTGTTATGCCAGACAGTTAAAGCAGCACGTTTATCGTCGATGAGTGCATTGATTTCCGGGTCATTTTCATCAAACCAGTCCTGGTGTATTCTTTGGATCTGGCTTAGGGTCTCTGCAGGCTTTTGTCATGACAGTATCGAGAATATCCCATTCGGCACTGGGATTTGGGTTGTTTGTTGTCGGGTTGTTTATCAGCCCACGTTCGAGCTGCTCTCTGAAAGCATGTGCTACTCCTGGATCTTCCAGACGGTTATTGTTAAAACCTCTTCTGGAGGGTTGTTGTTATTGCCGTTTTGGGGCGACGTGAAGTGAGAGTTTGGCTCTGACGAGCCGATGATCAGTGTTGCAGTGGTCTGAGCCACACATGGCTCGGGTGATGAGGACACACACACACACACACACACACACACACACACACACACAGGTAGACCGTAAAAATAGCATCAGTGGTTCCTATCAGCTGAGTTCGTCAAGGTTGGTGGCTAAGACCGTAAAACTGTTGTTAAATGCCCCTGAGATCTCAAGGTTATAGTTTCCCAGTCCAGGTAAAGTCGACACAGCCCAGGTAAGGTCTACACAGCTCAGGTAAGGTCGACACAGCCCAGGTAAAGTCGACACAGCCCAGGTAAGGTCGACAAAAGCCAGGTAAGGTCGATATAGTCCTTGGCAACTCACGGCTTCTCAGGTCCCCTTTAATACACTGAGCAACTTAATATGAAGTCACGAAGCCAAAAGGACTCAAGGCGTACTATACGTTAGGTTAGATTAGATTAGATTTAGTTAAATTAGATTAGGTTAGGTTAGATTAAGTGAAGTTAGGTGAATTTAGTCTTCCTTGGCGCCTGTGGTTTAACCTATCAACACTTGGGCAGTGTGAAGCGTGAATGGAGGAAATATATGCCAAGGAGAACATTGTTTTGGTCGGGATACAAACCTTTGACATTGGAATCTAAGACCTGGTTGTTTAGGTGGTTAGGTTCAGGTAACTTAAGTGAGGATGGCAAGCACAGGTAAGTAAGTTAGCAAGTAAAGTTGTCAAGCCCAGGTAAATCAGCAGGTAAGGTTATCAAGCACAGGTAAGTTAGCAGGTAAGGTTATCAAGCACATGTAAGTAAGTTAGCAAGTAAAGTTGTCAAGCACAGGTGAGTTAGCAGGTAAAGTTATCAAGCACAGGTAAGTTAGTTAGCAGGTAAGGTTGTCAAACACAGTACAGGTACACGTGAAGGGTTTGGCGCGCCGGCCGGCCAAGGTCAGTCAGACTCCCTCAACAGACCAGTTCACTTTCGCGCACTCAAGTCCCATGAAGTCCGGAACAACCACAGCTAACACCACGCTCATAATCCGCTTAAAATACATAACAGTGACGTCTACAGTCTTGTCTTCTTCTACATAAAAGCAAAAAAAAAAAAACACACAAGGATGATAATTTGGCAAGTAGAAGATGGGGGAATAAGAATAAAGGGAATAATTAATAATATAATAACGGGAAATAGAAGATAACTTGTGAACTGGTTTTCGGGTGATGGGATACAAGTGACGTCCATAACTTCCTTAGATCAGATCCTACACACACACACACACACACACAGAAAAACACTTATAACGGGATTTTGTTTGATAATTACAATGCTAATTTTTTTCTCGATAAATTTCACACTATATTTGTTAAGACCCTCGCCTTCTTACGCCATAAAAGTCAAGACGTGAATGAGTGAGTTTGGGAGTGAAAAAGTAAACAATGAATACAACTTCCGATCTGGCAGTCACCCAAACAGGATTTTGTCGACAGAGAAGAAAAAAAAAATATTGTAATGTTAAATCTCGTCTCTGGATATCGCCCAGAAGGCAAGCAGGGAGGGATGGAGAGGCAGAGGAGGCGAGGGGAGGAAAGGTAGGGGGTAACATGGTAGAAAGGGGGTGGGGGAAGGGGAGAAGGAAAGGTAGGGGTGGGGGAGTAGGAGAGAGGGTAGGGGTTAGGTGGTAGGAGGAAAGGAAGTAGGGGGTGAGGGGGGTAAGAAGGAGGAGGAGGAGGAGGAAGAGTAGAAGGAACAGGTAGAGGGAGTTTTGGAAGGGGGAGGAGCGAGGGGGAGGGAGGAGCATGAGGTCCGAGGAGGGGGGAGGGGGTGATGGCGGAGGTGATAAAGGTGCAGGAGGGAGGCGGCGGAGCACCATTAGAGAAGCGTCACCACAACCAGCAAGATGGTGGTGAGTGGTGTACTGGTGACTCTAGTGGTGACTGTTAATAATTACTGTGATGGTGTTTGTGACGTTAATAACTAATTGTAGTGGTTGGTGTGATAGCTGTGGCGTCAAGAACTACTGTGGTGGTAGTTAAGAGTAATGGTGACGACTTCGAGAACTATTTTGGTAGTGGTTGTGGTAGTTGTGGTGTCAATAACTATCTCGTGGGTGGTAGTAGCTAGAGTGGTAGTGGTGTCAGAAACTACTGTGATGGTAGTTAGTGTTGAGATGGTGGTAGTTAGCATTGTGGTGATGGTGGTGGTAGTAGTGGTAGTTAGTATTGTGGTGGTGAGGTGGTTATGATTTCAAAATCTACAATGGTGGTAGTTAGTGCTGTAATGGTAGTTATGAGTTCAAATGACTGTGGCATCAAGAACTAACTACCCTGGCTGTGGTTAGGGTTACGGAAGTGGTAGTTTGGAGTACAACATTCAAGGTGAACTACTGTGGAGAGTAGTTAAGAGGACTAGTGTAAGGGTTGTTTAGGGGGGGGGAGGTGTTTCGACCTTGGAGAAACTATTGTGTAACAGTAAATTTATGTCTTAACTACTGTGAAGGTAGTTAAGGTATATTGTTTACAATGATTGGCGGTGGCTGTGTCGTTAGTGGCAATTTGACATCCTACGTAACTAGATAATTGGTGGTCTGGTCATTACGTTGTTAGTGGAGGTGTTTATTGTTTGTGTGCTTTGTTTGTTTCTTTTTTGTGGTGTTTGTGGCACCTTTGGTGTTTGTGTCACTTGTGTGGTGTTTGTGTCACTTGTGTGGTGTTTGTGGCACCTTTGGTGTTTGTGTCACTTGTGTGGTGTTTGTGGCACCTTTGGTGTTTGTGTCACTACTTGTGTGGTGTTTGTGTCACTTGTGTGGTGTTTGTGGCACCTTTGGTGTTTGTGTCACTTGTGTGGTGTTTGTGTCACTTGTGTGGCGTTTGTGGCACCTTTGGTGTTTGTGTCACTTGTGTGGTGTTTGTGTCACTTGTGTGGTGTTTGTGTCACTTGTGTGGTGTCTGTGTCACTTGTGTGGTGTTTGTGGCACTTGTGTGGTGTTTGTGTCACTTGTGTGGTGTTTGTGTCACTTGTGTGGTGTTTGTGTCACTTGTGTGGTGTTTGTGTCACTTGTGTGTTTGTGTCACTTGTGTCACTTGTGTGACTGTGTGTGTCTTGTGTGTGTTGTGTCACTTGTGTGGTGTGTCACTTGTGTGGTGTTTGTGTCACTTGTGTGGTGTTTGTGTCACTTGTGTGGTGTTTGTGTCACTTGTGTGGTGTCTGTGTCACTTGTGTGGTGTTTGTGGCACTTGTGTGGTGTTTGTGTCACTTGTGTGGTGTTTGTGTCACTTGTGTGGTGTTTGCCTGGTATTCTTTAGTTGAATTACTTTATATAATGTTGTGATTATAGCCTATGGAAGCCTAGGTGACAGCTACACACCTGTCATAACCCATACCTGCTACCTGACCCACACTGGTTCACAAATAGGGTGGTGGACGAGTGGAACAAGCTTAGCAACTTTGTAGTAAGTGCGGGAACTCTGGAAAGTTTCAAAAGGAGGCTAGATAGATTCATGGATGATAGAGAGTGGTAGTAACTCTCGACAGGAGCTGCCATGCACAGGCCAACCGGCCTATTGCAGACTCCTTATTTTCTTATGTTCTTATGTTCTACCTGATCCACACCTCTTACCTCACCCACACCTGTCCTGACCCACACTTGTCCTAATCCACACCTGTTACCTGACCCACACCTGTTACCAGACCCACACCTGTTCTGACTCACACTTGTTCAGACTCACACCTGTCCAGTCCCACACCTGTTACCTGACTCATGCCTAACCAAACCTAACCCTAAACCTTTTCTAATCTATAACTGTCCTGACCTGATCTGACCTGACCTGACCTGACCTAACCTGACCTGACCTGACCTGACCTAAGCTAACCTGACCTAACCTAACCTAACCTAACCTAACCTAACCTAACCAACAGCTTAACTAGACACTTTCACTAAAAACCAGTTAAGAGAATTAATTATCTGTCTGGCGAAGAAAAATAGTAATGTGAACGCCAACACGAGCATTCGCCATCGCCAAACGAACGACGTGTATAAGTATCCTTCAGCTGTACACTTTGAGGATGTTAGTCCGATACGCTTCAATCAGCAGCCATGGCCCCGTGTGTGTGTGTGTGTGTGTGTGTGTGTGTGTGTGTGTGTGTGTGTGTGTGTGTGTGTGTGTGTGTGTGTGTATATTTTTCTGGTAGTTTTCAATCGTGGACAATTTAAATTCATTTATTTTTTCTTGTGTCTATTATGGCATAGTCACCATTGGAAAGGAAAAGTAACTGTGTGTGTGTGTGTGTGTGTGTGTGTGTGTGTGTGTGTGTGTGTGTGTGTGTGTGTGTGTGTGTGTGTGTAATGTGGCACGTGCGAGTGTTGCGTTCAAGTTTTTCATCATGTATTCATTATTCAGTCGTATACAACGTCATACAACTTAAAACGAGGGTATAACGCGACTGGCCTTGACAGGGGACCGACTAATTAGGTCCGGTCTGGTAATTCTTTAAAAGGTCAAGAAGTGAAACTGTTTGACGGACGGAAATCACCAAATGTTTATTGAATGGTTGCATGTCCAGGTTAATTACTTATATATTATTTACCTTAGAACCCCCTCCCCCCCTCCCCACCCACCACGAGGCTGACCCCAACACACACACACACACACACACACACACACACACAAAAGCGGTTAAGTTAGCTGATAGATATATGATAAATTTAATAATACTTTTATACTAATATGGCCCAAGAGAATTGTATACAAAGAGAATGAGATAATGAACGAACAGTATGTCTAGATTGTCTCATTATATATTGAAATCTGAGTATTCTTATTCCATGATTCTGTTTGTATAGATTAATGTATACATAGACTAAACATATCATAATATACTGGTGTGGTATAATGTGGGTTATAGTGAGGTATAATGTGGGTTATAGTGAGGTATAATGTGGGTTATAGTGAGGTATAATGTGGGTTATAGTGAGGTATAATGTGGGTTATAGTGAGGTATAATGTGGGTTATAGTGACGTAGAATGTGGGTTATAGTGATGTATAATGTGGGTTATAGTGACGTAGGTGTTTATTATCTTAAGTTTAACCTGTTTTCTTGTTCTCTACTATCACCATTATCATCACCTCTCTCTCTCTCTCTCTCTCTCTCTCTCTCTCTCTCTCTCTCTCTCTCTCTCTCTCTCTTTCTTTCCATTCACTTTTTCCCTCCTTATTGTTTCGTTCTTTCCCTCCCTCACCTCTCTCTCTAAAATACACTGACATAATCTTCACTTGTCTTTGTTCAGTGAATTTTATGTTTGTATGAACACACACACACACACACACACACACACACACACACACACACACACACACACACACACACACACACACACACATCACACACACACACACACACACACACACACACACACACACACACACACACACACACACACACACACACACATGTACACCCATCACTGTATACGTTTGCAAGTTGATGTACACATGACACAAGGCACAACGTGTTTGTATAATAATTATTACTGGATAAGTCTGCCCTAGTGACACTCTTAGTAAGTGGCAATACCACTAGGGGGTGTGGGGGTGTGGGGGGAGAAAGGTAAACGGAGGTGAGAGGAGGTTGAGGAGGCAGTAGAAGGAGAATGTTTGTGATGTAAGGATAAAAGTGTGTTTGTGTGTGTTTGAACATGTTTGAATGTTTGTGTCTACTGGTATGTATGTATATCTGTGTGTGTGTGTTTTGGGGGGAGGCAGGTGGAGGTGGACTTAGGTATTTTCTCCTATGATGTAACAGCGGCCTCCAGGTACAGGTACAGCCTGGAGGTGGACTTGTCATGACACAACAATGAACTCTTCTGTAAATTTATTCCTCGTTCTTGATCTGAAGCAAAAAAAAAAAGACAAAAAGATGAATTTAGTTCAGTCGCCACACAGCTTCGACTTAATTCAGTTTATACGTCTTTGTGGTTTGTCGAATCTGTCGTTACGTCGCTGTCGGATTGCTTGAGTACGTCTTACAGTCTTATGTGTGTGGTAAAATTGGACGTACAGTAGTTGATTCTAACGACGCTGATGCTTGAACCACTCGTTAAACACGTCTCGTTAACTATCTGTCTAACATCTGTATCGATTCTATTAATATATGACTCTAAAGTAAACTGTTGTGTTACTCGGATGAAATTTATTGATTTTTTTTTTGGGGGGGCGTGTTGGTGTGTCGGTTACAGGCAGGTAGGTGGGTGGGGGGTGTGTGTGTGTGGGGTTACAGGCAGGTAGGTGGGTGGGGGGGTGAGTGTGTGTGTGGGTTACAGGTAGGTAGGTGGGTGGGGGGTGTGTGTGTGGAAACTGCATTTATTATTTGTCATAGTGAAAATGCAGTTTCTTAAGTGACTCTTCTTTTCATCATAGGTTTTTTGTATAAGTGTATTTCCTTATCACGGTGTTTTGTAAGTGTTTTTTTTTTGTCACGGTGTTTAAGGAGTGTTTTTCTTTATCATTGTTTTTCATAAATGCCTTTCTACTTTATAACCGTGTTTTATAAGTGTCCTTCTTTGTATAGTGTTTTATAAGTGTCTCTATGACTGTGTTTTGTAAGTGCCTCTCGTCTCTCACTTAGAAAAAAGTCTTTGATATAAAGTATTTGTCAATGTTTCCTCGCGTCTCATGTGTCTGATATCACTTGGTTGTTAAGGTAACTTTTGGGGCCAGATTCTGTGTGTGTGTGTGTGTGTGTGTGTGTGTGTGTGTGTGTGTGTGTGTGTGTGTGTGTGTCTTCATCTATCACATGTAAGTTGCTTTTTTGGTCTGGTCTTTGAAATATTTTATGTGCGTAAGTCTGACCTTAGTTATGGGAGATAGTGTTCTTCTTTTGGATTAACTCACGAATGACCCTAACTTAACCTAACCTAACCAACACGCAGACAGAAATTTCACGTTGCCTCATGAAACACAAAGGAAAGAAAAGGAAAAACAAACTGAGAGAAGATTAATACACACACACACACACACACACACACACACACACACACACACACACGAGAGGTTATGACCCCCAGTCGCTTCTTCACCTCAGCGTGATGTGTGCGTAGTGGAATGTCTCTCTTCATACGTCTCCAAGCTTCCCCTGCCTTTGTGTGTGTGTGTGTGTGTGTGCGCGCGCGTTAGCCACCCCCCCCTTCCCCTCCACACACTACTCTGAGGTCTCGCGTGGTTGACCGACTGGACGATTTTTTTTATGAATAGATAAAAAAATATAATAAGAACTCTCTCTCTCTCTCTCTCTCTCTCTCTCTCTCCAAAATATAACGTTGTAAAGTTCACTAAAATGATCTTTACCGACGTTTTAACTAATATTGTCCATCTGTACTCCGCAAAGATCATGTAACACCTTCTTTATACTAATGTCACGTGTTTAACATTCCTCATCGTCTTTAAAAGGTTAAGCAGATAAAGACGTAATAGATTCTTATTAAATGATGACAGAAAATTATTGTGGTGAGAATAAACTTGATTTGTATTTTCCTTAAAGGTCTTACAAGAGAGAGAGAGAGAGAGAGAGAGAGAGAGAGAGAGAGAGAGAGAGAGAGAGAGAGAGAGAGTTTTCACACCATTATAACACAATAGACAAACACTTACAGTATATGCTTTCACCTCTGATTCTCCTCTCGTGTCAGCATCATGCATTGTATTTACACGGAGTCAGAGTAAACAGCTACATTGTACGGAGTTCTGTATTATTAAAAACAGTTGTGGTGGATGATGATTGAAGTAGGTGGCTAAAGGATGCTGTGTCCTTTAACTAAACCCAAATTTCCGCCCTCCTTCCCCACACAAGGCTGGCGTGAGTTGGGACCAGTTTAGTGTGAGGTTATTTTAAGGTCATCTATTGGGTGAATATATAGTGTGAGGTCATTTGAAGGTCATCTATTGGGTGAATATATCGCGTGAGGTCATTTGAAGGTCATCTATTGGGTGACTATATAATGTGAGGTCATTTGAAGGTCATCTATTGGGTGAATATATCGCGTGAGGTCATTTGAAGGTCATCTATTGGGTGACTATATAATGTGAGGTTATTTGAAGGTCATCTATTGGGTGAATATATCGCGTGAGGTCATTTGAAGGTCATCTATTGGGTGACTATATAATGTGAGGTTATTTGAAGGTCATCTATTGGGTGAATATATCGCGTGAGGTCATTTGAAGGTCATTTACTGCTGGGTATTAAAGGTTAAAGATAACATTTATTAATCTTATGCTTTGTTTGTTTCTGTTCAACCCTTATAAGAAGGTACTGCGTATGTTGAACTTTACTGTGTGACTCACTTCAAATGCTGTACTTCTCTATAATATGTACCTCGCTAACTGAACCTTTTGCAACATTTTATCATTATAGGTGTTTTACTATACCTAACCTAACCTAACCTTAAATACGGAAACACTCTTTTAATTAATCGTATTTTCCCAACAGGTGAGATGGCTGTCGTGGGTGGTGTGGGTGAGCGTGGTGGTGGTGGGCGTGGCTGGAGTCACGGCTGATATGGACAGGTGTAAAGACAGCTGTTCTGCCGTACCTGAAGATCTCTGGCCATACTGCTGTGAGACACATAACACCTGCTGTCAGGAGTTTGCTGACTCCTGTGTGGTGAGTGTTTGTGTGTGTGTTTACCTTTGGTGGGTGTTGGGGCTGCTCTCCTGTACAGATACACGAATAAAACATACTATTTATCTATCTCCTTTACATCACACACACACACACACACACACACACACACACACACAAACACACACACACACACACACACACACACACACACACACACACACACACCATTTAAAACATAACTTACACACCTAATCATTAATCATTATCTTAAACACCATCTAATTAGGTCACTAACACTAGTGATTTGCCAACCTGACCTTACCTGTATGAAGTCAATATGGGGTAGGAAGTCTGACTGACCTCTGGAGTCCATTACCTGTGACCTTATTGAATCTATTGCGGTAACTAGGTTGGTTAAGGTTGGCAGGTCACAGCGAGAACACTGCCTGTATATGGATCAGGATTGTGACTCTACCTGTCTGTGTGTGTCTACCTGTCATTGATGATGATAATAATAATTTCGCTTTGTAATAGTGTGTCATTTGTCCCTATTACTGTTATATAATCCATAGTAACGTCATTATTAAGTGTTATATTATCCATAGCAACGTCCCTATTAAGTGTTATATTATCCATAGCAACGTCCCTATTAAGTATTATATTATCCATAGCAACGTCCCTATTAAGTGTTATATTATCCATAGTAACGTCCCTATTAAGTGTTATATTATCCATAGTAACGTCCCTATTAAGTGTTATATTATCCATAGCAACGTCCCTATTAAGTGTTATATTATCCATAGTAAAGTGTGCTGTGTTGTTAAGCTATGACGTCACTGTTGTTATAGCGTCACACAGGACATCACTCTCGTGTACACATTCTGTCATTTCTCTGTGATGTTTTATCTTACATTATCGTCTTATGTTTTAAAATATCATATTCCTGAGATGCTGTGACCTTATGAAACAGCAGGACAGCATAGAGCCTCGCCTATTGCTGTGTGTGGTGTCCGTTCTGTCATAATACATTTTTTTTTTTTTTCTGTTTATTGTGTAGTGTTTTCTGTTTCACGAACTATAGAGTAACATACAGGAATATCTAAGTTATACTCAAACTAATAAACGGAGGTAAAGTTAAGATAGAGATATAGATTCACACGGCTATACAAAATGACAATAAAGGCGGTTGTTACTGTTTCCTTTGTCTCATGTTTTCATCTTTGCACAGCACGACTGTCTGCCTAGAGTCCACACGGGGGATGTGAGCGTGGTAGAGGAGCGTCCAGGGCTCTGCTGTGCTCTATACAACCTCTGCTGCTCCAGGGAGTCTCTCAGGCTCTCATCTACACGAAACAAGAAACAGGAGCCAACCGTCTTGCCTATCGTTCATCGTTTCCAAGTAAGACCTCAGATAGATGAGGTTAAGCCGGTCACTCGGTCTGGCCCGGCACCCTTCTCACAACCCCGAAGACCGAGTGTTTTCCAGCCCACACACACTCCACGAAGAGAGAAGACGTCGAACAGGCCTTCTCTGTTTTCACGACCACAGCTGCCGAAGAAACCAACAGACAGCCCTCGAGTGCTCGAGCAGCCGCAGTTTCTTAAAAATTCGTTTAGTGGTTCAGAGGAACCTAACCAACCCGTGGGCACGATAATTCCCACAAGTAATGTAGACCAAAGAGAGAATCTAGAAGTGCCGAAGACTGGAGGAGATAAAGATGACAATCTTCAAGAAAAGAAAAAGACAAATGAGGACCAAGACCGAAGAAAAAGTCTCTTGGAGACGAAGAAACCAAAGGCAGGACCAAGATTGTCAGGTTTATTTCTTGCAAGAAGGAAAGGAACAGATGAATCAGAACCGACAGACATCGAAGTGGAAGCGAGAAAAGAAACAACTGTGGAGACTGTCAGTGGTCTTCCCTCAACAGACCTCTCTGGCAGGAGGAAGAACACAGCTAGTGACACGGAAGGCACAGATAAACCCCGGCAGGGGAACGGAAGGAGAGGACAGAATGGCTCGGGGGGTAGAAAAGTGACACGTAAAAGAGTGAGAGTAAGTGACACGGCTGACAGACAGGAGACACCGAGAGAAACAACAGATCAAACCCAGATAGAGGTGGAAAGGCCAGCTGAAAGGCCCTCATTCTCTAATAGATTCCAGGTGGCCAGAGAAAGACCAAGTCAGTCTCCGGTTACTGCAGGAAGGCCAGGTGGCCGACTCCAACTGAGCGAAGATATATTAGGTGTTCAGCCTAACTTTGCCGAGGATACAGCATTTGGTCTGCCACAAGCAGGTAGAAATAGACCATTTGGTCCACCACAGGTAGGTGGACAGCAATTCGTTCCACCCCAGATAAACGTGGCGAGGTTGTTTACTCGACAACAAGTACCTGAACCAGGAAAAGAAGGGAATTCCCAGATTGCTGAAGAGAGAGTTGGTCGACCTCAAGATGCTCAGGAAAGACAAGCTCGACCGAAATTGGCTGAAGAAAGTGTCTTTGATATACCTCACTTGATTGAAGATATATTATTCGGTCAGTCACAAGTGACAGATGACACTCGTGGTGAACAACAGTTTGGTGTGGGACCGTTATTTGGTCAACCTCAAGTAAACCAAGAAAGTCGCAGAAGATTTCAGGCCGTACAAGCACAGACTGAACCACCAGTACCTCACTTCCAGATGGATGAAAATAGTAAAGTTTTTCAACCCATATTCTTCAAAGAAGATCCTATTGGTCAACCTGTGATAGATCTGGGACGAGCTTATCTTCCCCAACCTACTGAGAAAAAGGCAGATCAACCTCCAGCTCCAGCAAGAGGGGCGGCTGGTCGATCCCTGATAACTGATCAAGTGTTAGTCATTCAACCACACTTGGCTGTGGAGAAAATCAGTGATCAGTCACAGGCAGCTGTAGAGACAGTCTTTGATCAATCACAGGTGACTGTAGAGAAAGTCTTTGACCAATCATTGGTGACTGTGGCAGTCACTGATGAAACACCAGTCGCTGCACAGATCACTGACCACCCTCAGGTGGCTGTGGAAAAAGATGGTGAAAAATTGCAGGTAACGGCAGAAGAGGTCATTATCCAGCCACCAGTGGCTGTTGAGGTTAGCGACCAATTACCGGTGGCTGTGGAGGTCAGTGGCCAGTCACCAGTGGCTGTGGAAATCAGTGACCAATCACAAGCGCCTTTGGAGAAGGTAGATGACGTAGTGATAGAGACGGTAAATGAACAACCACTAAAGGCCGTGATGGACGTAACTGACCAGACAGATGTTGATAAAGAGGCGTCAGCGGGAGTACCTCAAGTGACCAGGTCAAGAGGAACGAACTCCAGAAGCCGTTCCCGGACCACAGGAAGGTCAAGTGTAAGAGACCAATCGCAGACTAGGGAAACGTCACGTTCAAGAGTTGCTTCACAGGTAACAAGATCAAGAACAAGTGGTCATTCTCAAATAAGTTCAAGTGTAACAGATGTCTCACAAGTAAACCCAGAAACCTTGAGAACGGAGGAACTTTTTCAACGCTCTCGGGCAACACGAACAAGATCAAATACGAGGGGTCCTTCTCAAGTTCCACAAGAAAGTTCAAGAACAGGGGATCGTCCTCAAGCAACAAGGACAAGGCCCTCAAGAAGACAACTTTCAAGGGAAAGATCAACGACAGATGGTTCTTAGATATACAGTCAATATGTTGTTAAGCTCCTCTGGGTAGCGTTAAGGGAGGGTCGCTGGTGGTCTTTGGGTGTGTGGATAAATCTGTAACAACACTTACTGTCGGCATTCTCATTTCCCCTTCAGTGTGCTGTACATCCTGTCTGAACTGGTACTCTTGTACTAGTTGTCTTGTTTACGGGAGAACTCTTGTAACTCGTCCTCTGACACTTCTTGTAACTCATCCACTGACACTTCTTGTAACTCATCCACTGACACTTCTTGTAACTCATCCTCTGAAACTTCTTGTAACTCATTCACTGACACTTTGTTACACACACACTAACCAGAGGATCATGAAGAGGCAGCATCCTCGTTAGGTCATGAGGGATGGGTGTGATTTCTCCAGGGTTTACACACACTCACACACACACGCACACGCACACGAGGAGAAACGTGTGTGTGTTAAGGCATTAGTGGAGTGACTCTCACATCTCCTTTCCAGACCAGACCTCTTCTTCTGTTTCTTCCTCCTTGTTAGTAAAACTCCACTTCTCCACTAATGATACTCTGTCAGCTTCCTCACTCTCTGTGGTGTTTAAACGCACTGTTAAAAAAGTCCTGAACTCAGCCATATCCCTTGTTTATTATTTTAACACTTTCTCTTGTGGTGATGCAGCAGTCAATGTGGATTATGACATCAATATTGATTTTGTAATTAGTTATTGATGTTCAAGATTTTGTTAATATTTATTGATGTACAAGAATTTCCCGTAATTTTTTTTTTTTACCTAGTTGATGTTTCGGCCTCTGTTAATGTCTTATGCTTCACTTTGTACACCATCTCCTTGTGTCTCTGTTGTATGGTTTTGTTTTTTTCATCATTTCTACTCTTCCTATATCACATTTTCCCCAAGTGTCACATACAGTAAACATTAACTTTTATTCAGACTTTAAAATCAATTCTTGTCTTTTAGGTAGTTAACAGTACCTGAAAAATACAAAACAAACGTTATTGCATCAAAGTAAGATTAATGTGTTAACTGGAGATGTTTAGTTACAAGGAACTTTATTTCTCACTTTTGTTGGGTGGCAGAATCTGATGACTGAGAGCCGAGTATTGAGGGATGACATACTTGTATTTCCAGGTCGTCCTTCAAGTGTTATCCTCCCAAGTATTACGTGTTAGTGTGTGTGCTCTGTATCGTAAGCTAAGTGTGTCGACCTTCTTCATTTGGTTATTATACAGTAGTAGTCATTTGGCCTGAGTCTTTTGTAAATCTTTATGTGGTCTTACAGCTTCACAAAGGTTGACAGTGTAACAGGTGAACTTTATAAGGAGGCTGTCAGTGGTTTGTTTATTAAGTACTTACCATGTGTATAGTTGTTGAATACGGCTGCATTTACTAGACTCGTAAGATACTGTATCATACCGACTGTGTATAATGAATGAGTCTTGGAATTATGACCAGTGTTGAAAAAGGTGTTTATATATTAAGGTACTGTCAGGGTTTATATTCTCGGCAATAAACCTGTTACAAATGTTTATAATTTGATTTTTTTTTCCTTTGGTGTTGACACTATTTTGTCTGTTATATTCTTCGTGGAATGTTTCTTTTAGATGTTGTGTTGTAAAGCTTAATAAGATGATTATAATTTAAATGCATCACACACACACACACACACGTACACGTCTTGACTACACTAGGTGAGGACGTACTGGCGCTGCTCCTGCCGCCGTTTTGGTAAAAATATTTTGACCATATCCCACTTAAACCCCCCCTCCCCCCCAGTCCTTCCTCTTCACTGGGATATACCAGCAAACTCCCACCGAGAAACCACTTGCAAAGATTGCTGATCAATCTGTGACTGATACAGAAGTGACAATTTCATTTCGGTAAGGAGTGATAACAGTGATGGACAAAGCTGAACATCTGAAAAATCATTAATTTTGACCTTCACATCCACTAGTGAGGTCCCCGGACACCATGTAAGAGGCGAGAACTCATGGTTATCCCTGTGTGAACTGAGAACTCCTGCCGACCTCCCACGTGAACTGAGATTCCCACCAAGATCATGGAAATGGTCGAGGACCGCAGTAAATGTTGACCTTCACACCTAACTGTGAGGTCCCCCACGACGGCACCAGTAAACGTGGTATTGCGACAAGTGTTTGTTGTTCGACACTTGGCCTACAAGTAACTTGTATCTTCACTTCATGTGTTGTTTGTTTTGTTTTTTGTAACGAAAGCTTTTGTTTAACAGCCCCTCCCCCCACCATGCCACTGTATAAAGGACATTTTTCTCTATTGTATATTTTCAACCATTTGGTTGCTGTATTTTTTAAATAAATCGTTAAAGAATATTATTATTATTATTATTATTATTATTATTATTATTATTATTATTATTATTATTATTGTTGTTGTTGTTGTTGTTGTTGTTGTTGTTGTTATTATTGCACAGTTACGCATAACTCGCGCATCATAGGGAAAAGAAAACTTGCAATATATGTTCAGTTTATTGTTCAATAATTGTTCAAATTTCCTTCCTTCACCCTGTCTGCACATCCTGAACCGACTCAAGTAGGAGAGTTTAACTCTGTAACATTTCAGTTGGTATTGGCACAATCTGAGTTTATTTTGTCCTTCGGCTCATCGGGGGTCCGAGATCCATTGCCATAAACGACAGATGTCAAGTAGAGCTCCGGGTACCTGGGCGGCGGCTGAACAGGGTGTGACACCAAAGAAAAGAGCACCCGGGGCCGAATACTCAAAAGTTTTAGAACTCTACCTTACGTCTTAGAAACTCTACCTCATGATTTAAACTCTACCTCTCTTTATAAAATTCTTCCTCACGTTTTAGAACTCTGCCTCACGACTTAAACTCTACCTCACGTTTTAGAACACTACCTCACGTTTTAGAACACTGCCTCACGTTTTAGAACTCTACCTCACGTTTTAGAACTCTACTTCACGGTTTAGAACTACCTCATGACTTAAACTCTACTTCACGTCTTAGAACTCTACCTCACTTCTCACAAAATATAAATTGAAGGATCAATCATATTTATGTTTTGACTGAGTCTGTTTAACAATTCTGCCCCAAATAAATGTGATGATCCTGCGTAAGGCGAAGAGGGCGATGACAGCCGCTAGAAGGATTAGAGCCAACACATCCAGCATGAGGAACTCCACCCAGGAGAGTTCAACCGCCGGGCACCTCAATTGGGGCGCTCCTTGGTGGCGGATGACGTACTCAGTCCAAAACACCGCTCGTTCTCTCGGTGACTGCGGCTGGTCCCTTAGTGCTGACGATACCTCCTGCATCCTCCTCTTGTACCTGGGAATATTGGTAGTTGTATTGTTAGTACTGGTGGTACTTATATATCACCTATTACCATCCATTGTTGTAATGGTCAGCATGCTCCCCTCGCAAGCGAGTGGGCCCGGGTTCGATTCCCGGGCAGGGTGAGACTATGGGCAATTTTCTTTACATCATTTGCCTCTGTCTACCCAGCAGTAATTGGGGACCTGATTGTCAATCGATTTGTGAATCGTGTTGGCGAGTTGTCCGGTCTTCTCGAGCTATTCCTTGACACTGGGTCATGCAACTCATTAACTCTGGGTGTGGTTGTTGTGTTTGCGACAGCTTCTACTCTACACCGTAAACAACTCACGCCTAGGTGTCACTAAGGCCGCTTTCCTTGTACAGGAGCGGCTACCATTATTATTATCTATATCACCCATACACTATTGTTGTGACTATTCGTAGTAATAGTTATAGAATGATAGTCTGTAATAACAGTCACATGTCGACCATACTGTACACTGGTATTGTGATTATCAGTTGTATTAGTCGTGAAATAAATTTAATTAAGGGGCCTTGAGATTTGTATTAATGAAGGAATTTATATGGTCTATATTATTTTCCATATAAATACATCATACTTCTATATATATAAAACAAAGAAGTATGTCTGTGTGTGTTTATTTGTGTGTATGTGTGTCCGCACGAGAATCTCGGAACTACTTTACCGATCTGTAGTGATGATGGATGGTGTTATATGTAGTGATGATTAGATATTAAAATAATAACAGTTTAATGCTAAAAAAATATACTTTGCTGTACCGTTGTAGTGAAAAACATGGTGGAATTTACATACACCGTTAATGAACTATTGATGGAAGAAGAAGTTTTGGGACTGAACAGTGAGACAACGTGGAGCCTCCCTCAGGGTGGCGTCCTACCGTGGCCTAGCGGATGAGCCGCCCGGAGCGAACAGCGGTCAGTCGGTCACAGGAAACAGATGAGGAAAAGGAATCCCGTCTTAATGCTAACAGAAAGCGAACAGCGGACAGTTGGTCACAGGAAACAGATCAGGAAAGGGAATCCCGTCTTAATGCTAACAGATAGCAAACAGCAGAAAGGCCTTCCCTAGAAACTGATAAAGCGCATGAAATTCGTTTGAATGCTAATAGACAGAGAGCTGCGGGATCCAGAATTCTAAGAAAGAATACACAGTGGCATCCACTTTCAAGAGCAGCACTTAACTATGACAATGAGATAGAATATGAAAAGTATCCCTCTGTTGTCATTGGCAACAGAGGGATAAGAAATGTGAACACTGCGGTGCAAAGAAGTATAAAGGAGAATCTGCTGGACTGTGCTGCTCTCATGGGAAAGTACGACTGCCAAATTTGGAAAAACCACCACAACCATTGAAGACTCTCATGCTGGGAACAACACCAGAGTCAAAACACTTCTTGGAAAATATACTGAAGTACACTTCATGCTTCCAGATGACATCCTTTGGAGCTACCAGAGTAGTTTATGAGCACGGATACATACCAACATTCAAAGTCCAGGGTCAAGTCTATCACAAAGCAGGATCCCTCTTACCACTGGAAGATGAGCAGGCAAAGTTCCTCCAAATCTACTTCATGGGAGATCATGAAAAGCAGACTACTATCAGGTGTGGCAATATTCAAGGTGTCAGACATGCCATTGTCCTATCTATCCAAGAAATGCTGCATGAGCGCAACACATATGTACAGTCATTTAAAAATGCCCTGGACAACATACCTTCTGACGAGGACAAAGTCAGGATCAAAGCAGACACGACCCCTAAGGGAGAGCATGAAAAAAGATTCAATGCTCCTGTAGTTGATGAAGTAGCCATCCTGATTGTCGGTCAAGAGTTTGAGAAACGAGATATCATACTCAAAATGAGAGACGAGGAGAGGACGTTTTTATACCAAGGATACCTCTCATCACCACTGATCTGCCATTTGAGTTCAAGCGACTTCAGTTCCCGGTTAAAGTGAGCTTTACCATGACCATGTACAAAAGCCAGGGACAGTCCCTAAAGATGGTTGGCCTAAACCTGGTGTTTCCTTGCTTCTCTCATGGACAGTTCTATGTTGGATGCTCCAGAGTGGGAACTGGCAAAAATCTGTACATACTTGTTGCTAATGGCAAAACCAAAAATGTGGTCTACCTTAATGCACTACAGTGAGACAATGTGAGCCTCCCGGAAGGTGGCGTCCTACCTTGGCCTAGCGAAAAAGCCGTCCGGAGGGCGGCGATTCCGCTAGTATTTCAATATATTATAGTTAAACTTTTATTTTTACTTAACATGAATTTTCATATTTTTTCAAGATTTAAATGACTTTTCTGGGTGATTTGTTTTATCCTAATTTTGTTTTCTTTTTCTTTCAGTTTCTTGTACCGTGTTGGCGTCTCCCCTGCTGTCCTCACACACACCACAGTAACATTATATTGTAAGTAGCAGACAATGTTTAATCTAAATGATTATCTTATGATTATACAGGACCCTGAAGTCTCGCGTGATGTTTCGTCTGAAGGAGGAGAATCAGAGATCCAATGTTTATATAAATTATACTCTACTTCCTTCATATGTTTGTAGTGGATAGGCATTACGTAAATATGTTTCCTGGAATAGTGAAAGTTTTGTAGAGAGAGAATGACATTGTTGTGGAAGATGATGACTACGTTGCTTTGGTCAGTATAAAGGTTTGTTGTGGCCCGAAAAGACCTACATTAACGTACAATAATTAGTTAGAAGATTAACATTCGTAACTCCCTATTATTTATCAAGTAAGGTGTATTATGTTACGTGGTTACTCAGACAAAAACATTTCTAAACGTGGTATTTACATTATAATACTAACCGAGGATTATTGATAATTTCTTGGATCGTGTGGACTATACGATCCACTGAGAGTTCCTTCCAGTTTAAGGACAGACCAAGACCTTTGTCGACAATATTCTGAGCGTTTCTGGGCTGGTCACCGTGGATGGGTAGTGCTAGGATGGGCTTCGCATGGTATAAGGCCTCTTGGGTGCCCAGAAGACCTCCGTGGCTCATAAACACCTTCACTCCGGGATGACCTGATGGAGAAAGGTATTATACTGTATCAACCACTGAACGAATACAGTGTTTCCCTCAATAAAAAAATATCAAAACAAGATTAGTGAGGCCAAGTATTACATCATCTAAAAGTTTAAACCATTATCTACAGTTGGGTTAAATTAATAGCCATAATGTCATACAAAAACACCATTAATTTTGCATATTTTTACGCCTGTAGGTTAAAGGGAATATTAAGAGATGCAGAAAATCACAACAATTTGAACTATAACCAAGGAAGGTAGAGTAATGTAGCAAATGAAAGGCAACGATAAAATATGGAAGATATTTGAAAACTTTGGTAACAACGAACAACATGATGCAGACGGATACTTTACTGACATGGTTGGTGGGGAGTTAATTTAATTGACCTTAACCCAAAGTAAGAGAGGATTAATTAAAGTGGGTTAAGACGTATTCCAACATTAATTAGTGATTAACAAAACAGCCTCGTCAGCTGATTTTCCCCGGATACTTGATGTAACAGACAAATATAGTGAACATGATATAAACATACTCAAAATGTCCTGTTGAGGCATCCAGGGTCGTATGAGAATATTATCAGGCACACCGGGAAGGTCACTCTCAAACTTCCACAGAACTCGCTGGTCTAGTCTCTTAAACGCTTGGAGGAAGAGCTTTAGGTACTTCTCTGGCATCAGGGCGCCCTTGGTGATAGAGCCTAAGCTAAAGTAAACAATACCTGCCTCACCAGCGCCCTCTA